CTTATAACTTATTCAATTTAACTTAGTTGAATGCGTAAAGGAAGTCTCCAACGCTTCAGCTTTTCTGTAACGAAAAAGCGACTGTTTTTAATCCAACCAAGTCGAGTTTGAAATACCAAAATCATACTGGAGATAGTTTGTAAATACTTTAAGCTAGCACACGACCGAGACTATAATTAAACGTTGTGATGGAAGAGAAAATTGGCCTTATTGCTTATAATAAACAGTTCTAGCGTGAATAAAAGGAGATAAAGTCAATAAATGGAGGTAAAACGAGTATGTTTTATATATCCAGGGGCTCGAAATCCGACTAGATTAAAAATGTTATCAACAAAGAAATCCAACTGTGAAATGTCATGGTTTCGAACATTTTTGTCTTGCCTTACAGACAAATATCAAACAATGACCGTTCATTATTTTCAACGTTCTCAAAGAAATGTTCTCAAAGAAAAACAACGTTACTGTCATCAACAAGAACAACGCCATCATCGTTCATCAACTCTGTTGATGATTCACAAACAAGTTTTAAGAGCGTTTGTCTTATTTTAGAAACACGTTCAGTTACATATAATTTAAATGATATTTTACAAGAACATCGGTATTTTGGTTTAAAATCGTATACATTTCAACTGCAAGATAAACAGCCAACAAAAGCTATTTTGAAACTAAAACCATATCAACAAGATAGAAATGATACATTTTGGCTAGCATTTCAAAATAGGCCAACATTTCACGATGAAAATTTTAATGAATCAGATATTGACACAGACTCAGATTCAATTGATTCAGAAGACAGTGACACGGATCAAACACAAATGTCCCCAAGTCAATCCGCTCCAAAAGTATTTCATATAACTAACGGTATATACATGCAATTAAGTCTTGGATCACTCGTGAGTTTGAATACATTCCATTGTTTTGAACATGTTGAAAAGCCAACATTGAATGAATGGAAATTAATATTTTATGATAATGCTATTGATTTGGATTATTCAAAAGACAATATAAAAGATGAATTTCGAAAACGAATTAAATATGAATTTATTGATCAATG